CCACAAAGCTTTTTAGTAATCACTTGGTGAAAGTGTTAGCTAACTGCAGTGTGTAGCATACTCTCCTCTCATTGGTCAGTCAATGAAACCCTCGCTGATTGGTTTTACGCCAAGCGACAGCGACAAAAGTTGAACATTTTTCAACTTTCATATGTCACGTCGCAAGCTCGCGTGTGCACGTCTACGTGTACGAGCGTGAAATTTCACATGCACTATTTTCGCCGGTCGCTTATCTGGAGGAGGGCAAGCGATTGTCGCCTCATCGCACAGGCTCCATAGGAAATGAATGGAGAGCGAGCGACATCGCCTCCCGTGTGTCGAGCCCTTAAGAGTGGAGTTGTAAACAGTCTCCAAACTATCATATTTTATCAGATAATCCCAGTTTAGTAACTCAGTAACTCAAATTCTCAAGCGTTAGCTGTCGTGTAGCTGGATGAGCAGCGGAACAAGAAACTAATAACCTGTTTATTGATGCTACACAGCACTAATTATTAGAATACTGACTGAACCAGCTAGATTTTACTGTATTTAAATACAGTAAACAGAGAAAATGACATTTATTTTTATTAAGCTAAGCAGCATAATTACTTAACTAGCTGCATAAGCTAGCAAAGAACATAACAGTTATTCTTGAGAGAAAAATGTACTTTAATCCAGGGTATAGGATTGTAGAATGGTCTGGAGGATAATCTTAAAAAGGCCAGATCTATGTATATATTTAAGAGACAGATAAAAGCTAGTTTTTTTTGAAGATATATGGAAAAGTAAAATGTGAAGCTATATGAATTGTTGTTTCAGCGATGTTTTTATTTTTATTTGTATTGTTTTGTAAATTATGTTTTCTTTGAATATATTCTGGGGATAAAAGGGGCAGACATTATAAGATATATTCTTCTTCTGCTACTTTTTATTTTGTTTTGTGCATTTTTTTGTTTTTATTTTGTTTTTTTAATGTGAATAATTTTTTTTGAATTGAATTGAATTTGAAGTTATGATCACATTGTTTTAATAATGTCTTATTACCTAATTAAACACAGAAGAGGATTCTTTAAATGCCATTTCCAGTGTCTAATTTTAGCTATCTAAAGCCATTTCATTGTGTTTAGATGTAATTTGTGTCCAGATAAAATAATTTCAGATCTTTTTTGCCCTGCAGGACAGCAGATGAGAAGGAAGACTGGATTCAGGCAAGAGTCACACAGTTGCACACCCGCACACAATCTGGGTCTCTAACACACATTCAGCACTGTGGGTTTATGTCTTTGGTTATTCTGCTTTATAAAAGAATGGAATTAGCAAGTATTTTCTCAGTGCGTTTGTTTGCTTTTTGAGCATTACATTTTTTTAATGAAGCCCCCCGTTGCTCATTTAGCTCATTATAGCTCAGTAAAGCTGATTAAAACATTTTGCTGACTTGACTGAGGAGTTATCCTTTCACCCAGTGGGCTTAGGATTTGATGTGTGAGCATGAGAGAGGCTTTGAGGCAGTGAAAAGTAAAATGAGATGCATTCATTATCGCACCCCTCAATGAACGGTGTGCCATCTTGTAATTTCCTCAGTGTGTGTGCGCTTTGCTACCTCCGCCAAGGGCGAGGTAATGTTTTCGGTCGAGTATGTCTGTCTGTTGTTCTGTCTGTGGACAACATTACTCAAAAACTTGTGGACGGATTGTCATGACATTTTTACCACATGTGGGTACTGGACCAAGGAACACACCTTTAAATTTTGGTGATGTTCCGGATCACGATGCAGATACAGGAATTTTTTTTCTTTTAACACTCTGAGATAGGCAAAGCTGTGATGCTTTCACATGGCTTCTGTAAAAAACAGTGAGCTGGATTGGACAGCACGGACTTCAAACTTTATAAAAGTAATGTTAAATCCACATTTAATGATGAATAATTTTTGCCATAATATGCACATTTTCTGGATTCTAACAATGAAACAAATGTTCTAATCAGAAATCTGGTGATTTCTCTGTAAATGTCCATGTGGTGGAGGGTAAATATAATGCAGATGGATTAATGTACTTAATGCACTCAACAGAAACAAGCCAGAGCTTCAGCTACAAGAACAACATGAGTTTATGGGACAGTAATGTCCTGCTGTTTGACTCGCTGATCTCTGAAGCAACGCAACAAGAAACCCTCAACAAACAAAAACAGAAAATTATTTCAGTTTACAGATCTCAGCTGTGTCTCCATAGTCAAAGTAAAGCTGTATTCCAGCATGTAGGGGTTGAGTAAAGGTTGTCTGGACTTTGTGGAGGAGAGTCATGGTCTCAGAGATGCTGTAGAAAGACAGGATACCTGCTCCATGGTCCAGGTACATTCCAACTGTGGAGACCTTACAACCTGAGGTCGGTGTTTTGATCTTGTTGTGACATAATATATTTTGGTTTGGATTACAACACAAAGCCCAGGATTTATCATTATGTCCAAACACAGTGTTTGTTCTATCAGCATCTTTGTATGCGACTGCTACATAACAACATCCTCCTCCTGGTCCTCCCCACTTCACCTCCCAGTAACAAYGTCCAGTCAGACTCTCTTTACTCAGAATTTGAGGATATAACGTGAACCTTTCTGGGTGATGAGGATAAGGTTGCTTGCTCGTTAAAATCACTTTTTTGTTCCCCTTAGCCAAGCACAGATTTTTATTTGCTGTGTTTGGATCCAGTGTGATGTCACGTGAATATTTTAAGAAGTCAGATCTGGTTTTAGGTTCTGGGTTTGGCAGTGAAACCTCCACCTCAGTGACCATCAGTGAGATGTTTGTCCAGGTGTCTCTCACAATGTCCTGCAGTTTGTCTCTGAGCTCCAACACAGCTGCTGTCACGTTCTCAAAGTATCTCAGAGGACGGACACTGACCCTGGAGCGTGGAGCCTGACTGAGGGCTGACTCTGAGGGGTAGTTGTGCAGAAACTGGTTGTGATCCTGTGTGTGTGAGAGCTGAATCAGCTCAGCATCTTCCTTCTTCAGCTCCCTCATCTCCTGCTCCAGCTTCTCCTGAAGCTCTTTGACTCGACTCACCTCAGTTTCCTGCTGAGATCTGACCAGCTGCTTCACCTCAGAGCTTCTTTCCTGGATGACCCGGATCAGCTCGGTGAAGATCTTCTCACTGTCCTCCAGGCTTTTATCAGCAGAGACGTTGATGGCCTCCAGCTCCTGTTGAAGCAGCTTCACGTCTTCCTCTCGCTCCTGGATTCGCTGGTGGATGATTTCTCGCCTCACCTCCAGCTTCTTCTGCTTCTCGCTGCGTTCTGCTGCAGCTGAGACGATGTCGTGGCCTTTATGTTCGTCCACCGTGCAGACGTGACAGATGCTCTGCTGATCACTGCGACAGAACATCTTCATCCCCTCATCGTGACGAGAGCAGACGTTCTCATGGAGCTTCTTGGAGGGCTCCACCAGCTGATGTTTCTTGAACTGAGCTATTTCAGAATGAGGCTGGAGGTGTTTCTCACAGTAAGACACCAAACACATCAAACAGGACTTTATGGCTTTGAGTTTTCTCCCAGTGCAGGCATCACAGGCCACATGTTCAGGTCCAGCGTAGCTGTGATCAGCAGGAGCAGCTTGAAGTCCGGTCGTCTTCAGCCGCTCAACTAAAGCTGCTAACAGGATGTTTTTCTCCACAACAGGCCTCGGTGTGAAGCTTCTCCTGCACTGAGGGCAGCTGTAAATATTCTTCTCATCCTCTTTATCCCAGAAGTTGGTGATACACTTGATGCAGTAGCTGTGTCCACAGAGAACAGTGAACGGGTCCTTCAGTAGATCCAGACAGATGGAACAAGAGAAGCTCTCTGTGTTCAGCTGGAATCCTTTCTGCTCCATTTCACCTCTCAGTGTCTGTGGTAGTTTCACTTCCTGATAACAGAAACCAGCGTGAGCTCTGATCTACACATCATGTGCTCGTACAGAGAGTGAGGCGGCTCAGCCTGTAACACTCATCAGTAAATGTTAGATCTGATGGGGAGGGAACAAGGAAACTCTTGGACAGAAGGAAGTGGAGGAGGAGGTGCTATCAATAAAATGTGTTACTTATTTATCAGTTTCACAGGAGGCTCTGTAACACTGGAGCTGAGTTTATACATGTAGAAAATAAAAGTTCAKTCAGTCTTTAAATCAGCTTTTTAATTATTTTATGTTTATTTGTCAGAGATTATRCACAAGAACATGAAAAGAACAGAAAACATTAACTGAGCTGTTCAGGATTGAACTAAACCATTACACCTTCACTAAATTTCTTCTTGTTTATCATCATTTATAAACCCTTTAAACTTTTCCTAAACTGTATGAAGAAAACAAGCATTTTCTTTGGTAGCCTAGTAAAAACCAGACCCTTGTTTTTGTTGCTTTTTAGGACCTTTTCTTGAATTCTCACCTACCTTTACAGGATCAGCAGTCCTTACGAGGACCAAAGCCTTGTCCTAAATACGTAATGGTGCTTGTAATGGTTAGGTTTAAAGTAAAAGTCAGGGTTTGCCTGTCTGTCTGTTTCTTATCACAATAACTCTTAACAAAAAAAATAACTATTTCATTGATGAAGTTTTAGAGTATAATTTAAGATGAGCACCATGACTAATCAGCCTTAGAAGACTCAAAAATGGCTGTAATTCAGCCAGTTTTACATAAAATGAGCTAAAATGTGGAGTTGGTGGCTGATAGTCCTGCCTAACATATAATCTGAGCACTAACAGATTACAAAACATCACAGCATTGCATTATATATGTGTTTATAAGCCCAGAATAAAACACCACAGATAGAGTTCAGACACTTTTCCATTAGGCTGTATCCAAATGCTAACATGTTTTCATCCTCTTCCCCCTCCATCTCTCCTCTTTTCTTCTGACTCTCAGGTGATCAAGGCCACTATTGAGCGACACAAACAAAACAGCGAAACATTCAATAAAGCCTTCAACAGCTCCTTCTCTCGGGAAGATGACCATGTGCCGGAGTCGCCGGTAAGCCACACCCATCAACACGACTCACACTCGGCGGGTCACGCTGTGCAGCGAATCACGTGACACCGCTGATTTTTGTCATAGTCTCGTCTTTGTCTGCTCGGAGAGCTTTTCCATCTATGGATGTGGTAGTTTGACGCAGACACAACACTCACAGAAAGGAGCTCTTTATTTCCACATCTGAGAGACTGTGCTCGATGATGACCTAATAGGGAAAGGACAAGTCAGAGTTTACACAGAATTATTGTGAATCTTCTTTTACCCACTTTGGGCTGACCTTTGCTGGATTCTAGCCAAGCAGCTATTTGACACAAAACAGGGGAGCGGAGCTCAGGTTCAGGCTGACATCTAGTGGTGGAGGTGCTTTAATGCAGGAGGAAGGTTTTTGTGTGTCTGTGTGTGTTTTGTTTGTTGTGTTTTTTAACTGTTCAGTTTTCCCCTCAGGGTCCCTGGTCTAACACTTCAATTGACTCGGATGGTGAAAGACTACATGAAAGGGTAAGAAACTTTGAAAAAGAAGAAAGACATCTTGTGACGCTTCACTGAGTTGGATTCAGTCTCATTCAGAAACTACACATTGGAATAATAATTCTCAATTTAAAAACATGACACACATTTAAAACCACGAATCAGAACAGGATGAAGCACGTTTACCACGATGTGTGTTTTCCCAGTCTTTATTCAGTCTCTGTTTCACATCTTGCTTCATGAGGTTCCAAAGATGCTTTCAGTGAGTGGCATTTGTGGACTGCAGGAAAGTCCATAAGGACTTGGTACACTCCAGCAGTACCTCACTCATAACTTCAGGAAGTCATCATCTTTTCCAGTCAGCTCAGATCCAGATGGTCACCACAGTTAACAGACACAGAGATGACCGTAACTCAGTCAGATTTACAAATATTAAGCTGAAGTTTCGTGTGATGGTCGCTAAGTCTTAAACACACACTCTGAGAGAATGTCATTTACAAGGTTTGATCAGACTCAACTTATAAGAATATAAAAGTCAGTGAATGAAATTCATTTCTGCAGTGTTAGTTGTCTGAGTTTTTCTGCAATCCAACCTGGGATTTAAATAGTTTAAAGGGGCAATATTATGTGTTTCTCAGGCATATATTTAAATACTATACCATAATAATGTATCTATGTCACCTTTAGTTGTTATTAAAATGCTGTTTTTATGTTTAAATAGAAAATAAACTTATCTTCTCATCCCTTTCTCTTCTAAATGCCTTGAAATTGGCCTCTGTCACTTTAAGAACCACCTTCCGCTTCTGTCTCACCCATTGGGGGGAGCTGCCATGATGCAGTTTAATTGGTATCTGAAAGTACGTTTCCTCAAAGGTATTTTTAATCTGAAAAGAGCTTCACTGAGTGAAAACTAATGTTAGGAGCTCCGCAGACAGTTTCACTTTCACCTGAGAGCCTGCAGGAGTCATGGGTGGAGTGTGTGTGTGTG